CTCATGTTCAATTTATGATCAACAATAATCCCAAGGTCCTTTTCACATCTATTACTGCTGAGCCATATATCCCGCATCCCTGTGCAATTGGTTTTTGAGGCCTAAATGTCGACAGAATAGCTAAGAGAAACTAAGAGCGACTCTGAACACCTTCCAAGTAAAGGCTTCCCAGTCCTTTCCTGTACCGGTGACTTCCGTGCATTCTGGCAACTGATTAACTGGGCAGCTTCAGTGTTGAAAGGTAATGTTCCTCCAGTGGTTAAACATTCACCCATCTGGTGAAGTGACATACGGAACAAAAAGTACTGAAAGTGCACCTCCCTATTTCTAGCAAACTCCCATCACAGAAAAGTGAAGATCATTACATAGACAATTGTTTGCACCTTTCCCACCGAACAGGCTGGCTCATTGCTGCTTTCGGTATTGGGGTCAAGGATCAAATCCCATAACTGGCAAGGCCAAAGTACATTGTGAAGGAACAGCAAGTGCTGCATTCCAAAGAATCAGCTGTTTCTAGCTTCAGGAGGAGCAGTGGCACAAAATGCTCACAGGATTTACAGACTTGAGGATTTACAGAAAATCCAGGTACTGCATTTCGGCCAAGAGTAGGCAGTTTTGGAGAGTCGCTACTCTCCAAAAATACACTCACTTGGCCTGAATGCAGTGCCTAGATTTCCTCTAAATCCTCAAGTCTGTAAATCCTGTGAGCATTTTGTGCCACTGCTCCTGAATGTTAATATGTGACATGCAACAACTTAATGTTGCGCATGATGTGCATCTTAGAACCCATCTCATTCTGACTGAACAAGCAGGACGAAGTCAGGAAACCCAAAGCAGAGGGGTTTCTTCAGCCCTGTCTGGTCAGACCATATGATCTCTAGCAGAAGCTACTAGTTCATGATTTAAAGCTGAAGCTTCCATCACTCTGCAGAATTGTTAATCAAACTTATGAGTACAGCTCAGTCGCATACCCTCCAACTGTCCCACTTTGGCAGGCACAGTCCTGATTAACCCTCTGTAGTCCCAATTTTCAGCTGCTTTTAAAATGTCCCAGTTTCTCTCTCCTCCTACGTTCCTCCTTTGTTCTCAGCTTACGTCAATTGCTGCAGACTGAATTCAAAGGGCAAAAGTAGTTTGCACTCTGTTAACTCAGCAGAGGGAGAGGAGAGGGAGTAGAATCTTGCCTTTCCCAGTAAGCGCAAGTAAAAGTAAACTGCTGCAGCCTCTGCTAGCTTGTGTGTTCTTAGAATCATAGAATCATAGAGTTGGAAGAGACCCCAAGGGCCATCCAGTCCAACCCCTGCCATGCAGGAACTCACAATCAAAGCACCTCTGACAGATGGCCATCCAGTCTCTGTTTAAAGATCTCCAAGGAAGGCGACACCATCACACTCCAAGGGAGTGCCTTCCACTGTTGAACAGCTCTCACTGTCAGGAAGTTCCTCCTAATGTTGAGGTGGAATCTCTTTTCCTGCAGTTTGCATCCATTGCTCTGGGTCCTATTCTCTGGAGCAGCAGAAAACAAGCCTGCTCCCTCCTCAATATGATACCTCTTTAAATACTTAAACAGGGCTATCATATCACCTCTTAACTGTCTCTTCTCCATAGTCTTCCTTATTGATAGCTTTTTCCATCTTGATCTGGTGTTGTATTGCTGCCTATATCCTGGTTTTCCTTTGTGAAATGTTGGAACATTTTAAAGTGATATATTTGTTTTTTGCTGTTGTTGTGTGCCTTCAAGTCGTTTCTGACTTATAGTGACCCTCAGGTGAATCTATCATGGAGCTTTCTTGGCAAGATTTGTTCAGAGTAGGTTTCTCATTGCCTTCCCCTGAGGTTGAGAGCATGTGACTTGCCCAAAGTCATCCAGTTGGTTTACACACCTGAGTCGGAATTCGAACCCTGGTCTCAAGAGTCATAGTCCAGTGCTCAAACCACTATACCACAGTGGCTCCAATGACACATTAAAAAGTAGATATAGACAGGGGAAATATGATGAATTGGCCTCTGATGGAATTTCAGAATTGTTGAACCCATGTTCCCTGTAATGATGTCTACTTGCAAAATCTATTGCCTTTATTTTATTTAATTGCATTTTTAAATAGTGGAAGCAGAGCTTGGAAACACTGCTTTTATGAACAACAACTCCCCAATGCCCTAAGCTGCTTGCAAGCTGGGGATTCTCAGGGTTGTAGTCCAAAATGTAATATTTCCAAATTCAGCATGGATATTGGTTTGAAAGAATGGGAATTACTTAAAAAGGTAAGGTTCATATTTGTGTGCTCACTTTGTACAGAAGTGGAGTTTGCAGCAGCTGAGTTGCTTTGGAGGAGGCTTCCCTGAATGCTTTGTAGTTGCGCTGCCTTGTTATCTGTGGAACTTAATAGCATTTACAACCGCAACAAAAATTCCATGACGCTAAGGGGAAAAAATAACCTGTCATCACCCATGCATTCCCTCCAGGGCTATGGAGATCTAACACACGCTTTCATGCAGAGGACAATGTGCCTGGAATGGGGAGGCTTTGGTCAGGCAGAAAGGTCACTTATGGGTTGCTAACATGACAGCCTTATGGTGGCAGAAACCATGGCTTCTTCCAGAATAGAAAGTCGACCAGCTGATCTGTAAGGCAAGTGCTTCCACAAGACCCCCCTGGGCAGACTGGCTCTGCTCTTGGTAAGCAAATGCGGTTGGCCCTCCACATTTGCAGCTTTGACTTTTGCACCTTTGATTATTTGCGGATTTGATTAATATGTCCTCTTTAGGAATCTCTAGGTTCTCCAGCACAACTCTGCTAGAAGTTGACCATAGACTTGGGCTGGAGAACCTAGAAGTTCCTAAAGATAATACTTCTCTGGGCATTTGGAGGTCCTCCAGCTTGATTCTATCTATGATCAACCTCTGGCAGATGTTGACCACAGAGTTGCACTGGAGGACCTGGAGAGTCCTAGAGACGTGTTGTTTCAGGTAAAAAGAATAGTGTATTTCTTTATTTATGGGTTTCCCGCATTCACAGGGATCCTTCACTCCTGACCCCAGCTAATATGGAAGAATAGTCAGCCCCGGTATCCACGGATTCTTTATCCAGAGACTCAGCTATCCATGACTTGAAAATATTGAGAATATATATATTCTGAATATTTTCAAGTCACGGATAGCTGAGTCCCTGGATAAAGAATCCATGGAGATTCTGAAAAGGCAAACCTTGATTTTGGAATTCTATATAAGGGACACCGTTTTACTATGCCATTGTATATAATGGGACTTGAACATCTATGGATTTTGGTATCCAGGGGGGTGGGGTTTCTGGAATAAAACTCCAGCAGATACCCCAAGGGTCTATTGCAGGGGTAGGCAACCTAAGGCCCGGGGGCCGGATGCGGCCCCCTGAGGCCTTTGGACCGGCCCCAGGCTGGTCCTGCCGCCGCTGCCACCGCCACCATCCACCATGATGATATTATTGCTGTTATTACTTGTTCTAGGTGTTTTCTTGGCAAAATCTCCACAGGGGTTTTGCCATGGCTTTTCTGGGGCTGAGAGAGTGTGCATGCATTTTATTTTTTATTTTTTTATTTTTTAAAAATATATTTTTATTTTTATTTATTTAGTTATTTATTTATTTTTGGTGCTTTGGCCCCCCAGTTGTCTGAGGGACAGCAACCCGGCCCCCAGCTCAAAAAGGTTGCCTACCCCTGGTCTATTGTATAGCTCCATTGAAACTGGCAAGATTAATCAATCTGTTTGCAAAGTCAAATCTTAGATCAACAACAGCTGGGGAAAGTTCTGCCTTCCTGGATTTTGCTTTGGATCAAACCTGGGACATTTCTCTGCCTCACCAGCACCCCTACTCTGAAACATGAGAAAAGCTCCCAAACTGACCCTTTTGTATGAAACACAAGCAGACGGTTGCCATTTGACACCGGGCGAACCAGTCAGTGCTTGACCGAACGTAGCCACCACCGACACCAGCATTTGCAAAATGACACAGAGGCTAGAGACTAACAGTAAGGGCCCAACTGAGTATGATGGGGAGACTTTTTTTTGCCATTGCTTGTGTTGTCTCTCTTTTCCACTCCCTGTTGAAACCAAATAAAGAAGCAACTGACAGTGTGATTGCAAGGCGTGTCCTTAGCATCCCGCATAGATAGGCTCTTCCTGCAGTGTGCTTTCCATGGTGTTGAATTCATAAGAAGAAGAACGAAATCTAATCTACCTGCATTTAAGAATTCGAAATGATCATAACAGATTAAAGACCTGGGGCAAGACTAATACAATGAAGTTCAACAGGGAGAAATGTAAGGTACTATGCTTAGTCTAATAATAATAATAATAATAATAATAATAATAATAATAATAGACTCAGATATAGGATGGAAGACACCTGGCTTGACAACAGTACATATCAAAGGGATTTAGGAGTCCTAGTAGACCACAAGATGAACATGAGTGAACAGTGTGATGCGGCAGCTAAAAAGGCCAAT